AAAAAAACCCTGAAATAATATGGTTGCATTTGTGTGCACACCCTTACACTAATACTTTGTCAAAACACCTTTTGATTTTGTTACAGCACTCAGCCTTTTGGGGTATGAGTCTATCAGTATGGCATATCCTCACTTGGCAACATTTGCCCAGTCTTCTTTGCAAAAATGCTCCAAATCTCTCAGATTGCAAGGGCGTCTCCTGTGCACAGCCCTCTCCACAAATATTCAATTGGATTCAGGTCTGGGCTCAGGCTTGGCCATTCCAAAACGTTAATCTTCTTCTGGTGAAGCCATTCCTTTGTTGATTTGGATGTCTGCCTTGGGTCGTTGTCATGCTGAAAGATGAAGTTCCTCCTCATGTTCAGCTTTCTGGCAGAAACCTGAAGGTTTTGTGCCAATATTGACTGGCATTTGGAACTGCTCATAATTCCCTCTGACTTGACTAAGGTCCCTGTCCCAGCTGAAGAAAAACAGCCCCAAAGCATGATGCGGCCACCACCATGCTTCACTGTGGGTATGGTGTTCTTTTGGTGATGCACAGTGTTGTTTTTCCGCCAAACAGATCTTTTGGAATTATGGCAGAAAAATTCAACCTTGGTTTCACCAGACCACTTTTTCCCACATGCTTTTGGGAGACTTCAGATGTGTTATTACAAAATTTAGCCGGGCTTGGATGTTTTTCTTCATAAGAAAATGCTTTCATCTTGCCACTCTACCCCATAGCCCAGACACATGAAGAGTACAGGAGATTGTTGTCACATGTACCACACAGTCAGTACTTGCCAGATATTCCTGCAGCTCCTTTAATGTTGCTGTAGGCCTCTTGGCAGCCTCCCTGACCAATTTTCTTCTAGTCTTTTCATCAATTTTGCAGGGATGTCCAGTTCTTGGTAATGTCACTGTTGTGTGATATTTTCTCCACTTGATGATGACTGTCTTCACTGTGCTCCATGGTATATCTAATCCCTTGGAAATTCCTCCAACAACCTACTGCATAACAAGTACCCCCATGCACGGATGCCCCCCCACGCCCCTCCCCACTCCCGGGCGGCGATGGCGGCAGCCCCCCCGGTCCTTGGAAGAATGGTCTTTAACGAAACCGGTCCCTGGCATTAGAAAGGTTGGGGACCACTGGTCTAGAAGACAAAGAATGAATAGTTTTCTTGCAGAAGAGAATTTGATTCCAGTCAAATGTAGGGAGACTTCCTTATTTCCATTACAGTTCATTAAAAAAAAAACCAGGAGATAATCTGACTTGAAACAGATATTCTTTGAATTGGAAGTCCAGATCAGATAGTATAGTATTTGAAGGTAAAATGCTTCAAGGGAATTTATTCTAGTTTAAGTTAGAATTAGCATATTTTATTTTTGCTGAAATGTAGAAATTCTTAAACATCCTTCACAATACAGTTCTGGCTTTGCAAATAGATTTTCCAGGTGTTTCATCAGAAGCATCTTTTAAATTCTGGAGAGTAGTTTCCATATTTAATGTAATTTAATTGAGCAGCATAGTTTTACTATTCATGCCAGTAGTATTATTCATGAAAATGCAAAATCACATTCATGAAAACTAAAAAAAATGAGCTTCAGTAATTAAAAATATACCTAAAACTTAGTTTTTGTAGGCAATATACAATGGCATTTTAAACTGTCTGGCTTGTGGTAATATATTTTGCATGATTTTAAGTTGCAGTACGACTTGCTGGTATACATTCACTCACTGATACATTTTTACTGTTAAGTTACCAGTGCAATTCTAAATCAAAGATGTGACCAACTAAAGTGAGTTTGAAGAGGCAGAAGCTTTTCATGCTGGCAGATCTCAGAAATCTGCCAGCATAAGGATCTACTGGTGTAACTACTAAAATCAGCCAGCAGATGAGCCCCCAGCTAGGAAGGAGAAAAGGCACAGTAAGACTGGAGACGATTGATGCCAAATCCAGGCCTCCTCCAGTCCAGCAACATATCAGCACAAATGAAGGCGAAGGCAAGGGTGACTCTATATAATTGCCAATGTTCCCAGACTTGAAGGCATGTGCTATTCAGCTGGCACTCTGTCAACATGGTCATTACCACTGCATCTTAAGTCTTCCTGGCCACAGTGAGTTTGGCTTCATAGCCAACACATATAGGTGTTTGCTGTTACACAGTTTAATTTTCATAGTTTACTTTTGCTTCTTTTCAAATATTTTCTAAGATGGCTTCTACTGTACTAGGAAATTAGTGGGAAGGTTTTTTTACAAATACACTGTTACAGATTGGTTGTTTTGTAGTATCATGCAGAGCAAAACACTAATAAGATAAAAAGCATCAAGTCTGTGGGATTTGATAAATTTCATGAAGATTCAGAAGAATGCAAAATTAGAGTCTTCTGTAATAAAATATTTATTGATGTCAGGAGAGCTCTGCTAATTCACAGGAAAACCTTGAGATTTTTATTATTTTCAACTCGTAAACTACTATACAATTTAGTTTCAAAAACAGACACTCCATACCAAGTTTCAGTTTAAAGTAATCCAGTATATATACAGTATTACAGAAACCTTAGCATTACAGCTGCATGATCCAAGGTAAATATTTTTTTTAGCAAAATAAATTAGTAGTGGTATTTTTCTGCAGTGAAATCCAACATCCTGATATATTTATTTATTTTAGTCAATATATTTATTTATTTAAGTCGTCTTTTTCAGTGGCAGCAGTTAACATGTCAGTTTAATTTATGGGGAAACCTACAGTTTACAAAGCAGACATTTCTGTGCTTCTGACCTTACAGAAAGGGAAGATGAAGGAGGCAGCACAACGGTACCAGTATGCCTTACGGAAGTTTCCTCGAGAGAGTTTTGGGGAAGAAATGAAAACATTCAATGAGCTCAGAGTTTCTTTGTATCTAAACCTCTCAAGATGCCGTAGAAAAACAAATGTAAGTTTTTCAAATTTTCTCTCCATTGTGGCAAATTAGAATAAAGTTGTTGAAAAATATCTTGGGTTGATGATGCTCCTTCGGGTGAATGCGTCTTACCTGCTGTTAAGGAATTGTTGCAGTGCTTTCCAGTCATTATGCAACATAATGGTTTTTATAATGCATGTGGTATGAAAGTAACGTTAATGCAGACCAGCTTCATCAGTGGCGGTACTTACAGATGTACATTAAAAGGATCGAAATACATTAGTTACAAACAAGAATCAGTAGAAAAGGGGTAAGGAGAGCTGGATGTTGGCCAGCATGGGTGTGAATAGTTCTGCAGCTTCAGCACAGACCTTATTGTAGTAATTTCCTAATAAAAATATGTCAAGATTTGAAAATTGTTGTTGTTGTTGTTCTGGCAGGATTTTGGCATGGCAGAAGAGTTTGCTACCAAAGCACTTGATCTCAAACCCACATCTTATGAAGCATATTATGCTAGAGCAAGAGCCAAGAGGAACAGCAGGTACTGGTAATCCATATGTATACCTTTCATAAGCAAGATGTGTTAGTGTAATCTTCTGAAAACAAGCTTTTATCAAGAGTTTACCCCTACCTTCTGAATGGGGACAAAAATGTTTCATCTCACTATAGTGTCAGTCAGTTGATCTGTAAAGAACTGTTTACATTACTATTCAGCTTTTGTTTCGTTCGTGACCTCTATTGGATCTATTAACTCTAGCTATATTTTTTACATTCCTATGATATCCAGAGGGCAAACCTCTCTTGCATTTGGATTGGCAAATACTTTTCTTCACCATGTATTTGTAATACATATCTATGCTTGGATATATTTGATGCACCTCATATTTCCCAATGACTGTCCAATAACTCTTAATAGCCACTGTTAAGATCACCATACTAGCAGCGTTTGCAGTTCACACTCCTGCCCTCTCCTCCTGCCTACTAAGGCTACAACTCCATACATCTGATGCATCACAAAAGCTTATACCAAATAGAACTTGTTACAAAATTGCAGCAAAAGAAACCAAGAGTCTTGTAGCAACTTAAAGATTAACAGGGCAGTCACTTTGCTTTACAAAAGCTTGTTGTTGTTGTTTAGTTGTTAAGTCGTGTGCGACTCTTCGTGACCCCATGGACCGGAGCACGCCAGGCTCTCCTATCTTCCACTGCCTCCCGTAGTTGTGTCAAATTCATGTTGGTTGCTTTGCAGACACTGTCCAGCCATCTCATCCTCTGTCGTCCCCTTCTCCTCTTGCCTTCATACTTTCCCAACAGCAGAGTCTTTTCCAGGGAGTCTTCTCTTCTCATCAGATGGCCAAAGTATTGGAGCCTCAGCTTCAGGATCTGTCCTGCCAATGAGCAGTGGCAGAAGCTTAGGTGCCCATCATTCCTCTGCCTATTTCTGAGTTCAAAGTGCTGATATAAATGTGTTAATCTTTCAAAGGCCTAAACATCATGGAAAGAGGCAACCTGAAGGATTGTTCCTCTACATATGGTGATCTAGACCAGTGGGTCTCCAACTTGGGTCCCCAGATGTTCTTGGACTGCAACTCCCAGAAATCCTGGCCAGCACAGCAAGTGGTGAAAGTTTCTGGGAACTGCAATCCAAGAACACCTGGGGACCCCAGATAGAGGACCGTTGGTCTAGACCAACTTCAGATCTTTCTCCAGGTGCTGCCAAGTGAGATGAAGCAGGTGGTTGCCATGGAATGGGCCTTTTCAGTGGTAGTATCCTAACTAGAGAGTCCTCCACCACCACTTGCCTACATTACAATCTTTTTGTCACCAACTATGTGTGATCTGATAATGCAGATGCTGGGAACAGACACCAGGGCTGCCAAAGGAGGCATTACAGAGCCCTGAAGGCTATGCCGTATGTATTCTTCTCAATGTGAGAGAGGTGGAAATGACTAGATAGGCGGGGTATAAATACAATCAATCAATCAATCATCAAATCAAATCAAATCAAATCAAATCAAATCAAATCAAATCAATCAATAAATAAATAAATAAATAAATAAATAAATAAATAAATAAATAAATAAATAAATAAATAAATAAATAATGTCTGTAGGAAAAAGAGAAACAAAGAATGATTAGCTCACATTGTTTTTCCTTTTTCTCACAGCCTATGCAGTTCATCTGTATTGCTTCTTTTTAAGGACTTTTGGGACCTCTGCTCTTGAAGGGGCATGAAGCTTATTATGTGAAAAGAGATGATAGTGTAGCATATAACAAACCTTTGAGAAACAGGCCTGTTGGTGTGCACCAGGTAAAATGTAAAAGCTGCAACTTCACTATATTCTGTTTTTGTCCCCTTTAGGCAGTTTCATGCAGCCTTGTGTGATCTGCGAGAAGCCATCAAGTTGTGCCCTGGTAACCAAGAAATAAAGAGGCTGCTGGCTCGTGTGGAAGAAGAATGCAAACAACTCCAGAGAACACAGCAACCAAAGCAGCCATGTCCTCCGCCAACACAACAAGCCAATGATTCTGACAATGAAGCAGAAGCTCTTGTGCAAGACCATTTCAGCCTGGAAGAGACAGAGGAGGAAGAATCTTTACATGAAGAGGAGTCTGGTCAGTCTGGACAGAGATTGTCACTTTCCCCTTTGTCTTTGCCTTGCAACCGAAACACTCAGGAAGGCACCCAGCAGAAATTTAGACCAATATCACCCCCAAACAGAGCAGGCAGCAAATACCTGCGAGAGCCTGGCTTGACCATGCAGCCTACAAAACAAGCCCAGATAGTAAAAACTAATCAGCATCTGAATTCTATTCAGTCTGGGGCAAGAACTGCATCTGGTCAGACTGGAACAAAACTGCCCCTTCAGTATATTCCTTCAAGTCCTGTGAACTCCAGACACCTCATGAACCCAAGCAAAAGTCAGCATTTGGATGGGACAAACACCAGCTCAACAAGTATTAGTGCAGGTAGTAACTCTGCACTATTTGGCGAAAGACTAACAAACATCCAAGTTCCCTACTTGCAGCACAGTGACAAAGGACCTTCTCACTCTTTTATGAGTAAGTCCAAAACACACGAGAGGCTCGCCATCCATACGCCTCCAAATCTGGAAAAAACAGGTCCATCGCTGCCCCAAGGAGTGGGTGAGTTAAGGCAACAAAGCACTATCTGTTCTGGTCAACTTTTGGTGAACATGGTCCCTTCCAGCTCAACAAACAGTTTGTCTTCAAGCAGCAGCTTCTCCGAGAGTGCAAAAGGTCCAGATATTCGACTCAAGGAAAGCAAAATTAGCCAAGGTCAAAGTGGATTGGAGCACAGGCCTCGCAACACTCCCTTCATGGGTATCATGGATAAAACTGTACGGTTCCAGCAGCAGCAGCAGCAGCAACAGCTAATGATGATGAACCCATCAAATCGCAGCTGGCATGGGCAACCTGCAGAAGCCTTCCAGAAAAGTGCTGAGGCTGGCCTCTCTACCAGCTGTGAGCAGTTCTTTGCTAAGCAACAAGGCAGTTCTGGCAGTCAGATGGCAAGCTTCTCTTCCTCTTCTCTTTTAATACCAGGAGAGAATATCCAGAATGGCACCTCATTTAAAGAACTTGAGGAACTCAAGTGTCAAGCATCTGTCAGTCCACAAGACAGCAGGATAGCTAAGCCAGTGGGTCATCTGTACCAAGATGTTCTCTCTAAACAGCACTCTCAGCTTAACAAAGAGATCCGTTCGAGTCACATCCCTTCCACAAAGCCAAAGCGATCTTTTGTAGAATCTAATGTGTGAGTGATTCTGTCTGTTTTATCACATACTAGGGAAGAACCATATCTCTTTGGTGGTAAAAGTTACCACATAGTGGTATGTAAATTAATGATATTAATCACTAGTATTTTACAAAGTGTGTAATAAAAACCTATTACTCAGCCATTTCTTGAACATCACTCAGGCTGTCTTATGAGGACTGAAAATATTAATCAAGAGATGGGTGACCACCAATTAAATTCTTTGTTAATGCAGGAGAAGAAAATTTCTATCATTTATGTCAAGCTTTGTAAAAGATCTAACATGATTGTTTAATTACTACAGTCACTCATTATACCAAGCTAAGTCCTTTTGGAAAAAGCTGAATAAAGCTCCTATATGTATTTGTTTTGGTTGGAAGCCTCACTGAACTCAATGGGACTTCTCTTTCTGATGGGGCATGTATAGGATTGTGCTGTAAATTTACATTGTATAGTCATGTATATTATATTATTGTTTAAAATTAATACATATATGATGGTGGAATCCACAGAACATTCAGATCTGTCCATACATATTTTATTGTCAGGAAGTATTATTCTTTCTGTTTAATAAGGGTGGAGGTGTAATTTCAGAAAACCTTTCCCTTCTGTGCAAGTCATTCAGCAGCCGTGTTTTCTTCTTTCATGTGGCTGAAGCTGGCTTAAGTTACTACTAGGCAGGAAGTACATTACATGGGATTTTGCATGCATTCTGTCCAACAATCTGGTTATTGCACTGAATAATATGATATTATGACCTATTAACAACATATAAGCAGCACTTTACATAGTTTGTCTAAACACCTTTTGAGGTGCTATGTCAGTACAAGATAGAGGATAAGGAAGATGAATGCAAGTATTGTGAGTGGTTTTATAGCCAATGAAGGTCTGAGGGAGAAGAGTATGTGTATTTACTTTTATAGGAAGGACATTTGATATGTTTCCTTAGTGTTTCAGTGTGAAATGCTTTTTTTAATCACAAGGATGTTTTTGAGATGGCTAGTTTGTAAGGACATTCCTGTGTATAATAAAAGTTGGGGCTATATAAGCTGAAGTAGTTTTTTGTCCTTTAACAATTATTCCCATGTGTACTATATGTATGTACATTATAACAGCATTCTCGCACGATTTTTTAAAAAAAATTATAAAGAATTTGCAATTTTGAAATGAACCGTTATTCTCTAGCTTATTTATTGTTTATCTTCCTATTTGTACAATCTTATTTTATTCTCTTGTTCTGTAGATCTATTTTTTGCACAGCTACTGTATTTTTCCCATATGAAATAAAAGATTATTAATATAGTTTCTAGTTGAGTACTGTCTTGCTTTGTTTATACAAGACTGACAAAGTAAGCCAGCATTAATGCAATTTAGTTAAGACCAGTCAAAAATTTAAAGGGTGTGAAAATAACCCTATGGGCTTTTGCACTTTCCAAAACCATATTTGAGTATGAGAACCAATTTTTGATATGCAGCCTATTCATTTAGTATTTGATGATTCAGTTCCATACTGGCCCTTTTCTGGTCAGCCATGAGTACCATCCAGTGTCAGATTTTCACAGAATTCGCTATCCCATGAACAGCTATAAGAAATACCACTGATGGCAATATGCCCATTTGAGTATGCATAGCTCAGAGGGGCTTTCATCTGGTTCTTGATCACAGTGAATACGTAAAAGCTAATTAAGGAAACACACACCATTATACTTTTACTTCTTTCTTTCTCTGCATCAGAACCACTGCAATACAATTAACAGAATGCACTAGACATGTATACACATAAAAATACAACACCGGTTTGGAAAAATAGAATTGTAAAGCATAGGTAAGCATTTCAAATAATTTTTACCCAGTAATGGCCATCATCAAGAGCATTTGGGGCTGCTAACATCCCTCCATAGTACATGTGGAGGGGCATACATGTAATGCTGCCTGTTCTTTTCTGCACTCAGAGAATGGTGGTGTTTTGAACATAATCTTGTCTGTAAGCCATCAAGTGACATCCAAGTAACCCAGTTCTCTGCGTGACCAGGGGCTAGACTTTCCTGAAATTCCATTCATTTTAAGAGATCTGAAGTTCTTTCTTTCCATATTATAGTCCTGGTATTGTCTACCGTTTCTTCCAGATTCACGGATGTTTATTCACAGGGGCAGGAAGGATCCAAAGAGTGGATGCAAATCTGATGTTGATGCCTTGAGTCTTTCACTCTTAGCTGTGTTTGTATGTCACTGGAGGCAATGCCTGCTTGATAACTGTGTCTACATGAGCTGAAATACACTACACTGGGCTGGCATATTTGCCTGCATAGTAACATAGGGCCAAGGCTGTAATGTTTAGTGCCTGTGGTTGTGTGCCTGAGCTAGTTCCCAATACCTGTCAAAGAATATTGTTTATTCGTTCAAAAAAAAAAACCCGTTCTGTGAAACACCATTTCCCATAGGAATGCATTGAAAACCGGTTAATCCGTTCCAATTGGAACGGATTGCCGTCCTTAAGCGAAAATCCCCATAGGAAACATCGTTGAGGGAAACGCGGTTCCCCAATTGAAATGCATTGAAGCCGACTCAATGCATTTGAATGGGTTTGCAAAGTCCCTTTTCGCTCCTGTAAAAGTGCCTTAAACTGTTTGAAAAGTGTTTTAAATGCTTGCAATCGTTAGCCCACCTTCTGAAACCTATGCAAACTTAATTTGGTGTTGTTCTGAGTCTTCGTTAATTTTTGGTGATTTCTTGTTTTCTCCATTGAAAGCCATTGGGGACATCGTTGTGCGAAAATTCCCCATAGGAAACATCATTGTGTGAGGCGGCAAATTTTTCAGAAGAAGCCATCGTTGTGTGAATTTATCATTGTGTGAGGCACTCGTTGTGCGAGGCACCACTGTATCTGTCAAAGAATATTGTTCCATGCAGAGACCTTTTGCTTTGTATTTGGCAGTGTTTTTTATAGGTCAGCATGTGATCCAAACTAACACCTAGATATTACGGGGCAAAACAATGAATAAGAGCGCATTCATGCACCTGCCTGCTCAGAAGAAAATATCCCTGAATTTAGGTTCTAAGATTAATTCTCAGATCTTGCAGGTATTCATCCACAATGACGTCTTGCAGAAGAAATGAAAGTTTTCTAATCAGTAAAACTGTAATTTTGAAACATACCTTATACATTATATAAAATAGTTGTTTCAGTTACTATTTTATTAGCCTATAAATGATTCTTTCCCAATTATTGTATATTCCAATCTGCGCCCCCTTGAGTTTGTCATATCCACATTTCTGAGAGCTATACTGGCAGTGCCTCCTTGTGTCCCTAACACAGCACTGTGCCTAGAGGCAGGTTTAGTCTCCATTAGAGTGTGTGCCATGGTCTATGTGTTCTGTCACTGGTTAAAGTTTATCTTCTTCCCACAAGGTTTGGCACCATTGACTCTTTCCGACACCTTCCAATCGGAATGGATATGTCACCTATTGTCAGTATTTTCCCCCAAATACCCTTATAGCAATGGGTTATGCCAATACCAAATCAGCCATCAAACAAGGGATTTGGGACATATAACTTCAAGAACATTTAGGTTCACTGGACAAATCCAGTGTTGTAAAAACCGCCTTTATACTTCCCACCTATATGTCCGGTATAACACTACCTAAATCTAGAAGAGCTTTTCTTTTAGCCAGATTTAATGTGTTGCCTTCCAATTTCCTGGAAGGGAGATTTAAAGGCATATCGTATTCTGATCGTTTATGTCCTTATGATGGTGGTGAAGCAGAAATAGTGGGGCATGTCCTCTTATACGTCATTTCTATTGACAACTCAGCGAACAATCTTCCCTCCCCTATTTTTCAAAAATTTCCAGGGAGATCCAGCAAATTTTGTATTCTTTTGCTGCTCTCCAATAATGTTTCTTACATTACTTGTAGTGGATAAATACTGCACTGCCACAATAGCTTGCCACAGTCTCTTAACTTCATAAGGTCTTTGAGTGCCCCACCCTTTAGAGATTTCTTCTTTGCCATATTTGCCAGCGTATAAGATGACTGGGCGTATGAGATTACCCCCCCAACATTTCCACTCAAAATACCACCTTCGATGGAGATGACGTGCTCCATCGAAGGTGGTATTTTGAGTGGAAATGTTGGGGGGGTAATCTCATACGCCCAGTCATCTTATACGCTGGCAAATATGGCAAAGAAGAAATCTCTAAAGGGTGGGGCACTCAAAGACCTTATGAAGTTAAGAGACTGTGGCAAGCTATTGTGGCAGTGCAGTATTTATCCACTACAAGTAATGTAAGAAACATTATTGGAGAGCAGCAAAAGAATACAAAATTTGCTGGATCTCCCTGGAAATTTTTGAAAAATAGGGGAGGGAAGATTGTTCGCTGAGTTGTCAATAGAAATGACGTATAAGAGGACATGCCCCACTATTTCTGCTTCACCACCATCATAAGGACATAAACGATCAGAATACGATATGCCTTTAAATCTCCCTTCCAGGAAATTGGAAGGCAACACATTAAATCTGGCTAAAAGAAAAGCTCTTCTAGATTTAGGTAGTGTTATACCGGACATATAGGTGGGAAGTATAAAGGCGGTTTTTACAACACTGGATTTGTCCAGTGAACCTAAATGTTCTTGAAGTTATATGTCCCAAATCCCTTGTTTGATGGCTGATTTGGTATTGGCATAACCCATTGCTATAAGGGTATTTGGGGGAAAATACTGACAATAGGTGACATATCCATTCCGATTGGAAGGTGTCGGAAAGAGTCAATGGTGCCAAACCTTGTGGGAAGAAGATAAACTTTAACCAGTGACAGAACACATAGACCATGGCACACACTCTAATGGAGACTAAACCTGCCTCTAGGCACAGTGCTGTGTTAGGGACACAAGGAGGCACTGCCAGTATAGCTCTCAGAAATGTGGATATGACAAACTCAAGGGGGCGCAGATTGGAATATACAATAATTGGGAACCATACAGCATTTATGCAATTATTTTGTCCTTAAACACTTGGATCACTGATGGAACATGTTACCCCCTTTATTGTAAAAAAAGAATCTAATTAATGCAGTAGCACTTTTCTGTGCATTCATTGCTGCATGCTTTATGTGGGAGGGCCGGGATCCAGAGGAATGAAAGACATGCCTTGTCCGTTTATTGAAGAGAAGACAGCCCACCACAACGAACCCTCACATGGACCATTTGTGCTTGATTCTCCTTCTACTAACAACTAACACCTTAGTTTTCAAGTAGTTATAGTTAGCTGCTCTTTGTTACAATAAGAAGAGAGAGCCCTTTAAAGTCGTCTTAAGCCAACACAGGTTGAAGACAACAATACTACATCATCAGCATATAAAATAATTGAGAGAGAGTGGGTAGATCATCTAAGAGGGTGAAAATCAGGATTTGTTAGATTTTCAACTATACCACTGACGTAAAAATTGATCAATGTATACTTAAAACGCAGCCATTTCACTCCACTGAAAGATGGAAATAATTTGGACAGGACCGTGGCTTGGCTGCATAGGACTTGCAGGCAGGTATTTTCATACAAATGCCTCATTAGCAAAAGGAGTTGCCTATCAATGTTAGTGGCCTGAAATTTGGTCCACACTTTATCTCTCGGGATGAGGTTGAACGCAGACTTTAAATCAATGAAAGCTAAAAACAGGCAGCCACCTTTAGGTGAGGCATATTTATAGGCTAGGAAATGAAAAACAAGGCCCTGGTCCAGAGTTGACCTTCCAGGTCTGAATCCAGCCTGCTCATCTGCAAGGATATTTTCTGCTTGCAACCAGTCCTCTAATTTCCCTAACAAATGGAGCACATATAGTTTGCTGATAATATTTAGCAAACATATTGGGCGATAGTCGGCAAGGTCCAGTCTGTTTACTTTCTTTTTTAAAAAATGTTTCCAAATAATTTACATTAGGTCCTTCCTTGTGTGCAGTCAAGTCAACTCCAACTTACAGTGACCTTTTGTAGGTTTTCCTAGGCATAGAGTACTCAGAGGTGGTTTACTATTTCCTTTTTTCTGAGGGCACATCATCTGGGATGATGCCTCTGGGCCCTGGATTACACAGACTGGCTCTTCTGGCAGATACAATGGGGAATGGAGCTCTCTAGCTCTGCAGCCAGAGGCCTAATTCACTCAGCCATCCAGTGACCAAAACCAAGTACCGAATTGTTAGACATACAGTAACTCTTGATCTAGCTTTTGCCCATGTTTCTTTATGGGACTGAGTGGACTTGATTCTGAATAAACATGAACAAAAATGCACTCTTGAGTTTAGTGAAATTTATTTCCAGGTTTATCCTGTATAGGATTGCAGCTACTGGCCAGAATTCAGTGACAAGTTTATGTTTGATCCTGCTTCTTTTGCTGTAAACCACATTTTCTTCTCCCTTATGCAGCCCTTCGTGCACCTTTAAAATGGGCTTGGAGAGCTGGAAACTCTTCAGAGTGGGTTCTCCAGTGCCTTGGAAATCAAGAACAGGAGAGAGGAAGTCTCAAATTTTCTAGAACTGGATTCCAAAGTGTATCATTTGAACTTGCCCTTACAACAAAGGATAAATAACTAACTTGTATAACAGTCAAGGATCTTGATAACTACAGTGGTGCCTCGCTAGACGATGATAATCCATTCCACTGAAATCGCTATTTAGCGAAATCATCGTCTAGCGAAAAGCATTTCCCCACTGGAATGCACTGAAACCTGTTTAATGCGTTCCAATGGGGAAGAATCGTCATCGTATAGTGAAAATCGGCCATAGGAAAGCTGCTTTGCGAACTGCCGATCAGCTGTTTTTAATTGCCATCTTGTGAAAAACGGGCCTGAAAACACCTGTTTTGTGAGGATTGCCCCTAGGGAAGCCATTTTACGAACCGCCGATCAGCTGTTCTAAATCGTGTTGCAAAAAAAAGGTCCGCAAAACACGGACCAAAACGTCATCCACCGAAATTCCCCCATAGGAATCACTTTTGAGAAGCAAAATGGCTGCCGCAAAATGTCGTTGTCATGCAGATTCGTCATTTTGAGGGGAAACCGTCTTGCGAGGTACCACTGTAGTTTTAATTCAAGGTCAAGGAAATTAATTTATGCAGTGCTATATATTGTGCTTAAATAAGTAAAAAACAACAGAATCAGGAGTAAAAATCTGTTGAATTATTTACCCAACTTCAACTTCTTTTCCTTTAATTTGAAAAAAAATGTTATTCACGGTGATTGCTTCTCATTATATTTTGGCTGAGTTTCTAACCAACGATTAATCGCCATTTTCAGACTTCTGTTTGGGGTAAGTATAAGAGTCTGAAGAGGTAGATTTGTCATGGGACTTGTCCTCCTTTCTTTAATGATCCAGTTTTCCATTGCCTCTTTTTCATAAGAATAGCCATCTGCAGAGAGAATTACAAACTTCCTTGAAAACAAGAATATTTGCTCTTTTTAAAATAACAAACCACTTTAAAACCAAAGACCCAGAACCAAGACTTGGCACAGGTTCAACCTATTAATTATATGCTGTGCATGCAAAGCAGTGGCCTCTGCTGATTAGCAGAAAATATTCTCTAACCTGTTCAAAGAAAACTAATACCCGGATGCTCCACAAACTACTGCAAGTTTTTGAAGGGAGCTGGGATCAATAAATTCACCAGAAATCTTAGCAACACCAAGTAATTGTAAATAAAACTTTATGTAATGAAGGTTATATAGTCTTAGAAAACAGGGTTGGGAAACATCAGCATCTAAAAACTTGGGGAGCCACTGCTAGCTGCAATACATTATGTGCCAGTAGGGCAATAAAGTGCATTTCTGTTTTAGCTGCTTAAACATACTACAGATAACACATAGTTACACTAATGTATTTCACATCTGAGACAGTAGCAACATTTGCCACTGCTTGTTCACACAACAGGAAGCTGTATCTTCCTGATCCATGTCACAAATATAATATACAGTGCATGTTTAAAACACTATCCATCCTTCTCAGGCCACTCTCTATGTTCTCTAGTGTTAGTGAAATTGAAGGCCCCTTAATCAAAGCAGATTCCAACCAGTCATTTACACAGAAACTCAACAAAGCAATATGCACTCCAATAGCAGAATACATTCCAGGATATTTAAGAACAACGATTAAGGTACATCACACTCTTACCAAATACTGGGCAAAATGTGAAAGGTTACACCATGCAAACCATATATGGCACCAGGAATATTATTTTCAATTAATTTAAATATTCCTATTCCCTCCTCCCTTCAGGTTCCGAGGCTCCTAAGGGCTTCTTTTTGCTCTAGGGAAGCCTTTGGGAGCCCCACGATGGAGACGAGGGAGCCTTTAATAATAATAAACTGCCACTGAAATTGGAACCACCATGAGTGATCTGGTGGCAATTTTTTTACTATTAAAGATTCCTCCCCTGTCCCTGGGCTCCCACGGGATTCTCCAAAGCAAATGGGAGCCCCAGGGAGCCTCATAACCTGAAAATGGCAATAGGAAGCATTAAATTAATCTAAATTGAATATTACCAGCGCTAGATCTGGCTTATGCAGCATGGCTTTATACAACAGGATTTCACCCATAGCCTGAATATTGAGATACAACAGCATTTGCCATACTGATGCTACTTTCATATGGGAAAATAACATGTTTCCATGGAATAACAATAATTGAAATTAAAAAGGGATATAATGAAAGACTAAACATTTTGCTGGATTCATAATCTTCCAAATCACCACTACATTTTCCCAAACATTTGCTCAATAAAAGCTAGAGCTCTCGGCGCATTTATTTTATTAATACTGACTTCAAAATTGGTTTCCAATAGTTCATCACAAAGCTGTCAAAGAACTCATCAGAGCTGCTGTGCAAGGTCCCATGTGCCCACTGCCTTTCATGTTTAAAATACAGACACCAAAACAATTACATGACTAAGAAATAAATTGCAGTTGGCAATCTGCATTTTAATAGACCTCATTCTGTATTACTGAAAAATATAATGTATGCGTTATCAATTTTTGCAAAGGTCATTGCTTACTTATAGTTAAGTCACTTACACTTTCTGTATAAGCATGAAAACATTTTCATGCAGCAACTCACTGAGCACATGTGAATAAGTATATATAAGCTTGTTTTCAGGCCTTTTCTTTTCAAACAGGAAAAGAAAATGACTTGTAATTGCCAAAATCCTGTAGCCAACTGCATAGCATATAGATTTTGCTACAGAAATACACCACATTTAAGCACAATGATTTCTGGTTTTCACATAGGAAATCCAGAGATCAGCCTGCTAAAAACAATGGGGCACGAATTCTCTTTGTACAAGTGACTTATAAGCAACAGGATACAGTGGTGCCTCGCTTAACGAGCGCACCGTTTAACAACGAATCCGCATTGCGACATTCTCAATAGCCGAAAATCACATTGCAATGATCAGTAAGCATTTCACTTACTGATCTTCGTATTGCGATGTTTGCAGAACAGCTGATCGACGGTTCCAAAATGGCCGCCGGATCAGCAAAATGGCCACCCGCAGCGTTTTTGCGCCCTGCCCTCGCTTACCGGGCAGCGAAAATGGCGGCCGGATGGGGGAATCTTCGCTTACCGATGAGTTGTGGAAATAATGTGTAGCCTGCAGAAAAAAATTCTAAACCACCCAGAGAGTGCTTTAAGCACTCTGGAGCAATAGATAAGCAAGCACACTTCGCTTTTGCTTTTAACACTCCCTTTTGTTGAAACGAATATTTACATTTAGCACTTTTCAGGCATACGTTTGGCATCAGGCACAAAGTAATGGTCCTACTCTTATCGTATACCAAATGCATCTTCAAAAACATATTTCAGATTGGGGGGGGGAAGGACAACGATTAAAGGAAAAACATAGGAGAGTGTGAGTTCACCTGTGTACTTTCAAACAGCTGCCTTGCATTAACTTCAGCAGCCTATTTCACTTCTGGACTGCTCCTCCCACTAGTCTTTGGAGGCCAAGAAAGAAACAAAGCTACTGCTCGGTGTTGTCTGCAAGCTGAGAAATGCTGTTTCATAATCCTCTGTAAGAGGAACCTTTCTCTCCAGGATGACAAAATAAGCTATGTTATTACCTAAGTAAACAGCACAACAAGTAAACTTATTTAACAAACTCTTTCAATCATCGTCGTCATCTCAGAAACTGCAGCGCTAGAAGATCATTGAGCCTAGCCTGTCAGAGAGGCACAGTGGGGAACTGAATTCCCAACCTCTGGCTCCATGGCCAGGTACCTAAACCACTCAGCTAACCAGCATTTGCTCTGTTACTATAGACCAGAGGAAAGCAGACAATTGTAAGCTCAGAAACTCTAGACCATATTGCATGTCATGACACAATAAAGTCTGTCTAAATTCACAAGGCTCCCATTTTCTGGTTTATAGATTTGTAATTGTCCTTGCTTGACGATAGTGTGTACTGCAGAAGAAGTTATATCATAAAAAAAAACTGAATACAGATAGCTGCTAACTACAATAGCTAGTTTACCCTATTACTGTCAATCAAACTTGTCTTCTGTTGTAGGCTTTGGATGATGGTCAGTTGAGTTTTCAAAGAATTTTCATCTATACTGAGGTAGTCAATAAGAATTAGATGTGGGTGAACTTCCATAACCCAGCATTGAATTAGCTTCAAATTTACATGCACAAAAAAGTGCAAACTGCAGCAAGTGGTGTGAGCTAATGAAAAGGACTGTTTCAGAAACTGGGAAATTTTCATTCACTTCAAAGGAAACATTAATTCCTGGAGAGGGAGAAAACTACTCTGTGGAGAGTACTTTCACTATACATTAGGAATGGATATTAATCTCTACATTCAGTCACCCATAGGTCCAGTAGATATACTAGTGACATGAGGGCATATGTAACAGCCAGAGAATGAACATCTGGAGGAAACATGCATTTCCTCCAATGTAAAACTACATCAGCGCTTTCAATAGTTCTGGGGCTACACAAGACACAGGACCATCTGGCAAGAGGTCCATCACTGAAAGGACCACTGCTAGTTTGTTGGGGCTTCCATGGCAGGGCACATGCTTTGCATCTGTTTGTGCAGGATCAAAACAGCAGTCTGAAGAACAAGCACTGCATCCTTGTCCAGCTACAGCATGCCATCACACAATACTTCACTGTATGTGTAATCATGATCATACAAAGGTACACACATACGGCTTTCCTGCTTGGAATGGTGTCACCATGCTGCCAAAATATTGAACAATATAAACAAGTTTCCCTATTAATTTCATAGAACACACACACAAAGTTTGTATCTTAAAGACATTTGGTCGTTAATTGCTGAGATATTAGCACTCCGCCTAAAGAACAATGATTGGGCACTCACCTGCAGCAATTACTGGCTCTTTCATAAGTTCTCGTGTTATAGGACACAAGAATTCATCAGGGATACCCAGGCATGCAGACTCAATCCTCAGCTCCTCAATCTTGCGCAATACTTTACCACGAATGCCTAGAGATTCTGGAAGAGAATTTACACATTGGTACCATTAGACTAGAAGAAACCTGAAAATCAATCCAAAGTCAACCAATCTGTTGCAAACACTGCTAAATGCCTAAAATGTACCAATCAAGCAACCCTGTGAAGCACTGTGATGTTCAAGGACTATCCTTCATACATTGTTAGTATGTGAAGTTACAGCTGAAGACACCATGAGAAGGGAGTTGAGGTGACAAAATGGTGAGAATGGGATGTTTCCATTTGTGAATATTATCAGGGCTCATCTCCTCACCCACCACCACCTTCCATTTGCACAAATTAGTTAGAAGGACATTAAGCATATAATTGATGAGTTCCAAAAGAATTTGGAGGACACGTGGAAAATAAAAGAGTCAGAAGGGGGAAAAGACAAAATAATATGGGACACTATGAAATCTTTGGCCAAAGGACAACCAATTAAAATAACAAGTAAACTTAAAAAACAAGAGAAAAGAATTCAGGGCTTAGAAAATGTATGCAGGATTTGGAAGGAAATGTCGTGAGAAATAGGGATAAGAAGAATACTGTATGTTAGAATTACGAGCGAAAAGGAAAGAACTAGAGGGGTATGATTTAGAAAAGATGCAAAGAAATTTAATCTATTTAAATAGGGGAAAATTGAATTTTGTTATAAAAACTCTATAAATTGCTTGCAAGAGCTACACAAAGGAAAAATAATAGGTATGGGGAAATAGGGGATCAGACCAGGAAGAAACCACTCAGAATGAAAGACAAGATTGAGGCTTTCCAGGAGTTTTATAATAAATTATATACCAGAAGAAAATGCCTGTTAGAAAAAAAAAATAAAAAATATATACAGGCTAATTTCAGTTTTTAAAAAAATCAGAAACAGATAGAGAACAAAAGGAACAATTAATTATTGAAGAGGAAATACAGGGGGTTATAAACAAATTGATACCATGGAAAACTCATATTTTCTAGTTTTAAATAGTTATAGATTTCTCTTGGTTGTGTTATGTTTATTTCTGTAAACCATCCAGGGTAGTGCTTCAGCACTAATGGGGAGTAGTGTACAAATGTAAGAAATAAGATAATAAATAAATAAACAGATGGACTGGGCCCAGAAAATTACAAGATTTTTAAAAAGATGCTATAACTCAAATTAAAAATGCCATATAATAAAAATTTAAAAGAAGAAATCCCTCACTCTTGGACAGAATCAACCATAGTATTAATATTAAAACATGGTAAAGATCCTTTAGATATGGAAGCATATAGGCCAATCTCATTGCTTAACCAAGATCCAAAGATACTTAGTGTGGTCCTAAGAAGCAGACTAAATTATTTTATCGGGACTTAGACAGAGAAAGGTCAAAATGGCTTTTTGAAAGGGAGACAGACGGCTGACTCAATGAAAAGAGTACTTGATGCAATGTTTTAAATTAAATAATAAAAGCTAAAGCTGGGGTTTTATCCGTAGATATTTTTAAAGCATTTGCTCCGGTGGAGTGGAATACAGTATGTTAAAGATGGTGATAGAACTATTGGGGTTTGGCACTCACTTTAAGCATATAATACAACCGTACTCACAAAATGCAGCTAGAGTAATAGCAAATGATGGGATATCACAGCTTAGGTCATGGAGAGACAAGGCTGCCCATTATCTCCAGTTTTATTTACACTAATAATAGAAATGTTGGCGCAAACAATTTGAAAAGATAAACAAATAAAAGGGATAGGATACATGGAAGAAAGTAAGACAATACTATTTGTAGATGACATGCTATTAATAATTAAAAATCCATTAGAAACAATTCAGAATATAAAAGAACACCTAAAGCAGTCCGAGGAAACATCAGGATTAAGCATAAATTGGAGTAAATCTCAAAGCATATTATTAAATTACAACCAACAAAAAAAGATGTATAAGGAAAACAAATTTGAGGAGAAGTTTGGAAGCTCTATCAAATATTTGAGGATAATCGTAACACAGGGAACTCAGAACATAATTAAAATGAACATGAAGAGGTTGAAGAAAGAGATCTGCAACCAGATAAATGAATATAAAAAATTAAAAATCTCCTGGTTCAATAGAATCGTCGTTGTTTAGTCATTTAGTCGTGTCCAACTCTTTGTGACCCCATGGACCAGAGCACGCCAGGCCCTCCTATCTTCCACTGCTTCCCGGAATTGTGTCAAATTAATGTTGGTTGCTTCGGTGACACTGTCCAACCATCTCATCCTCTGTCGTCCCCTTCTCTTCCCATCACACTTTCCTAACATCAAGGTCTTTTCCAAGGACTCTTTTCTGGGAGTCTTTTCTTCTCATTAGATGGCCAAAGTACTGGAGCCTCAGCTTCAGGATCTGTCCTTCCAATGAGCACTCAGGGTTGATTTCCTTTAGAATTGATAGGTTTGTTCTCCTTGCAGTCCAGGGGACTCTCAAGAGCCTCCTCCAGCACCACAATTCAAAGGCATCAATTCTTCGGCAGTCAGCTTTCTTTATGGTCCAGCTCTCACTTCCATACATCACGACAGGAAAAACCATAGCTTTGACTATTCGGATTTTTGTTGGCAAGGTGATTTCTCTGCTTTTTAAGATGCTGTCAAGGTTTGTCATCGCTTTCCTCCCAAGAAGCAGGTGTAGTTCTCGGTCCACATACTGCTGAAGCCTACCTTGTAGGATTTTGAGCATAACCTTGCTAGCGTGTGAAATGAGTGCAATTGTACGGTAGTTGGAGCATTCTTTGGCACTGCCTTTCTTTGGGATTGGGATGTAGACTGATCTTTTCCAATCCTCTGGCCACTGTTGAGTTTTCCAAACTTGCTGGCATATTGAATGTAGCACCTTAACAGCATCATCTTTCAAGATTTTAAATAGTTCAATTGGAATGCCATCACCTCCACTGGCCTTGTTGTTAGCCAGGCTTTCTAAGGCCCACTTGACTTCGCTCTCCAGGATGTCTGGCTCAAGGTCAGCAACTACATTGTCTGGGTTGTCCGGGATATCCACATCTTTCTGATATAATTCCTCTGTGTATTCTTGCCACCTCTTCTTGACGTCTTCTGCTTCTGTTAGGTCCTTCCCATTTTTGTCTTTTATCATGTTCATCTTTGCGCAAAATGTTCCTCTAATATCTCCAATTTTCCTGAAGAGCTCTCTGGTCTTTCCTTTTCTGTTATCTTCCTCTATTTCTTTGCATTGTTCATTTAAGAAGGCCCTCTTGTCTCTCCTTGCTATTCTTTGGAAGTCTGCATTCAATTTTCTGTAACTTTCCCTATCTCCCTTGCATTTTGCTTCCCTTCTCCTCTCTGCTATTTCTAAGGCCTCGTTGGACAGCCACTTTGCTTTCTTGCATTTCCTTTTCTTTGGGATGGTTTTCGTTGCTGCCTCTTGGACAATGTTACGAGCCTCTATCCAAAGTTCTTCAGGCACTCTGTCCACCAAATCTAGTTCCTTAAATCTGTTCTTTACTTCCACTGTGTATTCATAAGGGATTTGGTTTAGATTATACCTGAGTGGCCCAGTGGTTTTTCCTACTCTCTTCAGTCTAAGCTTGAATTTTGCTATGAGAAGCTGATGATCAGAACCGCAGTCAGCTCCAGGTCTTGTTTTTGCTGACTGTATAGAGCTTCTCCATCTTTGGCTGCAGAGAATATAATCAATCTGATTTCGATATTGCCCATCTGGTGATTTCCATGTGTAGAGTCGCCTCTTGTGTTGTTGGAAAAGAGTGTTTGTGATGACCAGCTTGTTCTCTTGACAAAACTCTATTAGCCTTTGTCCTGCTTCGTTCTGAACTCCAAGGCCAAACTTCCCTGTTGTTCCTTTTATCTCTTGGCTCCCTACTTTAGCATTCCAGTCCCCTAGAATGAGAAGAACATCTTTCTTTGGTGTCAGTTCTATAAGGTGTTGTAAATCTTCATAGAATTGTTCAATTTTAGTCTCCTCAGCAATGCTGGTTGGTGCATAAACTTGGATTATTGTGATGTTGAATGGTCTGCCTTGGATTCGTATTGACATCATTCTATCATTTTTGAGATTGTATCCCATTACAGCTCTTCCCACTCTTTTGTTGACTATGAGGGCTACTCCATTCCTTCTACGGGATTCTTGCCCACAATAGTAGATATGATAATAATCTCAGCTCAATTCACCCATTCCTGTCCATTTTAGTTCACTGATGCCCAGGATGTTGATGTTTATTCTTGCCATCTCCTGTTTGACTACATCCAGCTTCCCAAGGTACATAGATCTTACATTCCAGGTTCCTATGCAGTATTTTTCTTTGCAGCATTGGACTTTCCTTTCACTTCCAGGCACATCCACAGCTGAGCATCCTTTCGGCTTTGGCCCAACCACTTCATTAGCTCTGGAGCTACTTGTACTTGTCCTCTGCGCCTTTCGACCTGAGGGGCCCATCTTCCAGCGTCATATCTTTTAGCCTTTTGTTTCTGATCATGGAGCGTTCTTGGCAAAGACACTGGAGTGGCATTGCCATTTCCTACTCCAGGTGGATTGCGTTTAGTCGGATCTCTCCACTACGACCTGTCCATCTTGGGTGTCCCTGCACGGCATAGCCCATAGCTTCTCTGAGTTACTCAAGCCCCTTCGCCACGACAAGGTAGCAATCCATGAAGGGGTTCAATAGAATACTGATATGTAAAATGAAAATTAGCCCCTAAATATTTTTTGGATGCTTCCGATAGAGAAAAACAACTAAAAGAATGGCAGATTTTGAAAAATGAGTACCCCAATGAAAACAAAAGAGCTAAGGTTAATAAGAATTTAGGATACATTTCATCAAAGGAGGGAGGTTTAGGCATACCCAATATTAATTTATAATATATAGCGATCCAATTAATACATGTTCCAGATATATTCAATAGTAATAACTTGATATAGAAAGAACTTGAAAAAGGTAAAAAGGTAAAAAATGGACAGAGGACTAGAAAAGGAAAGAAGGAATGGGAAGAAGATTAATGAAGTTTGAGGAAAATATAGAAAAAAGATAGAAAAA